ATTCGAAAATGAGGCTGGAGTGAATTCGTGAATCCATTGAGGGCATACAGCAGCCTATTTTTGATTTGGCGAATGGAAATTTCATTAAAAGGATATGGCTCTGCAACCTTAGCTTTGACGGCGATTCGGCTGATATGGGTTTCCATTATTAATGGCAAACATTCCTCTTCACATCGATCATTTATCTCAAAAATTACCATTTCCCTTTGAAAACCAAAATCTAACCTCTTATTGGAAAACCCGGCATTAAACATAAAATATATATAATACATACAAACAAATTCTTATTGAAATCTTTTTATAAAGGACATCACTAATGTTTTTTTTAACTTCTTTAATTCATTATTTTTTTTTGTTAAATTTTATGATTAGTACCGTTTACGATTTATAGTTAATTTTCATGGAAATACAAACGTGCGTATGTATGTATTATATTTATTAGTTGTCGAAGGAACAATCGTTTTTTTATTACACGCCTATAATATGTTTCAAAAGCTGTAGTTAGTAGAAATGCCAAGAGTTTATGGGATTATAATTGAAAAATTTCTAATCAATGTATACATACATGTATGTAATGGATTTTAGCTTACAAACGTCTATATATTAATAATTTTTTTTTCACTATAGGCAATGTTTTTAATGCATTTGGTGTTTGCAGGTACTTTCAGAGAATTTTAATTGGAGCTATTATACTTATATACTTACATATATCTATATATTTATACTTATTTTTGTTATTACAAAGGTGCATATATTTTTGAAAGTGGCAAATATGTATATAGTTATATTTTATGGCAATGAAATACAAGTACAAGTATATATACATAAGTGCTATTAGTACATAAGCATATACATGAGTTTATATGGATACATATGTATACGTATTTGGGCACATTGCATGTGGTTTATTGAAATTAGCTATTTTAGTCAAACATTAAATTTTTTGTTATTAGATGAATTTACAAATCTTTTTGAAAAACTTTTCCAAATATTTTTACAGCTTTTTTGTAGATTTTTTTATGCATTTTCCGAATAACTTTTTGCATTTTATTTTTTATCGATTTGCCTGGGATTGCCTAATATGAACGTAAGTAATGGGCGCTTTATGTAAGGCTTATTTTTAATTAATAATAATAATAAGAAAACAGTAATAATTAAATGATAAATAACTACAGAATTTTTTTTATATTCAAGTTCAAGTATAACGCTTTCGATAAAAACTCTCAGGAAAAAGTTCCAATTTTTTCATCTGGCGAACAGTAGAAGTTATTCATTGTGAATAGTCTACAGTGCAAGAACAAAAATGACATCAAAATAAATTATTGCATTTTCCACTTAATCTTTTATTAAATCTACGAAATTGTGTGGCTTCCATATGGAAATAAAATATAACATATTAAAACTAATAAAATAATAATAATAAAAATGGTGACTCATTTTTCACAATCCTTTTTTTTTCATATTATTAATACTTCATTGAAAATAAACGAAAAAAAAACGTAGTAAACGCGTGTACTGAAAACTAAGCTTTTGGGCTAGAAATATTATTAAGTTAAACGAGCCGAGAAAAGTTATGAAATATTATTAAATATTATTTTTTTAAGATATATGTATATTATTATTCGAATGTACATACGTGTGAACACGCAAAATACGCGTTGTGAGTGCAAAATAACCCCAACAGACGGCAATGTATCTATGCAAATGTATGAAAAGTGAAATTTTAAATTTGCTTTTGTTTTCAAATATATGAAAAATTGTGTTATCGATAAGTTTGATTTCGATAAGATTTTCGAACCACTTCCGATACCTCACTTATGATAGTGATTTAAACAAGAAATGAAATTTAAAATGAAAGTGTTTTTGAAATGAAACTTTATGCCTGTATATATAAATATGTGTATGTCATTACTTGTTTTGGTTTTATAAACATTGAAATCAATCCCTGAGCATATTTTGGCAATTAATAGTTCATTATAAGCTCTTTAATGTGTTTACATACATACGTGTATCTGTAAAACTGAAAGTTTCAATCTTAATTGATTTGATAATTGAAATTTTCACAAATTATTTTGTTTTATTTTCTTTAACTTGCTTCATGGCTATAACTCATATGTGTACAACAAAACCAATAAAAATATAAAAAATAAATAAATAAAGATAAAATAAAATGAAATAAAAATAAATAAAATAAAATACAAAAAAATAAAAAAAAATAAATAAATATGAAATAAAATAAAATTTGAAAAAGTACAAATTTTACTGCTATTCGGGAAGCTGAACCGCGTTTGGTGAGACAAAAAATTAGTAAAATTTGCATCGAAAGAGCGCAGATTTGACGTTTCGTTGCTGGCTAATTCTTACTGACATTTCTCAGAGCAGTGTAGCTTTGTATATATATATCCAGTCGGACGAAAGCAAATTTGAAACATTTTTACGCCTTTCTAGCGAGTTAATTTTCTATTCGATTTTTTTTGTCAACATAAAATCGGAACAACCCTGAAATGACTTTGCTTATATTTGGCTTGATAGTTTTATGTTACTAAATTGACTTTGTCCATCCATGAAAACGCTTTAACTATTTCCACGTTCCGGCCGACAGACTCCGTCTTAAGACGGCTTTACTTAAACAGTCAGGTTGTACAGTTTTGAAGGTGTTGCTGTATATCTGCCGTTATTTCGTTTATATGTGCTCTGTACTCCATTAAATTTGCCTAACAGTCAGCTAATAAGCGATTAAATGATAACTAATCAGATTAGGCGGCCGGGGTAGCCGAGGTAATTAAAAGTTCTGTTTCCATAAAAAAAATCTAATGAAGTAAATAAAAGTAAAAAAAAAATTGTTTAAGTTAATTCAAAAGCATAAAAGTGTAAACTAATGCAATAATTGATAATTATTACTAATTAAAAGAAATAAAAATTGTTAAAACAATAAAAAGAAAGCTGATTCTCTGTCTTAACCTTACGCTGGGTTAGAGTTTAAACTCATGAAGTGTTGAGAAAATAATTTTAGTGGAGCAACAGGATTTTCTTTCTAATTATAATATACTTTTAATAATATACTCTTTAAATTGTCTTTGTTTTTTATTTTTATTTTTTTTTTTGCTTTTCGTTTGAAAATTAGCAGTCAATAATGTTAAATGAAAAAACTCAGTGTGTTTGTTAAATATTGTTTTTATTGTTTTATAGTTTTTAATTGTATAATTTATAAATAAACGAAATATATATATATTTTTTAAGTGAAATGCGTACAAATAACAATAACTAACATGTTATTAATTGATAAAAATTATACATATAGCGTATATATTGTACATACATGCAGTTTTATTAATAAATAAAATAAAATTATTTTCAAACTTGAAATGTTTTCTTGTACTTTTGAATTGAAAACAAAAAAATCATAATAAAAATATTAAAACATTATTAAATTAATTTTTTGTTCAATAATGTGTACATAATAAAATTTAAAATTAATTTTTTTTTGCATATTAGCGCATGATTTGTAGAAGATTAACGGTTAAACCACTTTATGTTTTATAAAATCATACCACTACCTTAATAGAAAAAAATTAATAAAAAATAAAAAAAAAATAGTAAGTTCGTCTGTACGTATAAATTTTTTTGAGTATGTTAATTGCACAAATATATATGTATGCATATGCAGTTTGTGTATTAAAATGAGACACATTGACTGATGACTAAACTATGTTTTTATGAAATCGGTAACTCTTATTAAGTTTTTTTTTATTTACTGTTATTGTAAAAATATAATATAATTGGTTTTCAACATACATACGTACATAGTTATGTTTTTTCTAAAACATTATTATAACAATTTTGTATTATTATAATAGGTTATTTGCTTTACTTTTCCAATAAAAAATTCGCTATATATATATATATATATATATATATTTGTCGCTTTAAATAACACATTCAATGCATGCATACATATGTATATACGTATGAAAAAATCATAATAGAAAAATTAAGTCATAATAAAATTAAAAATTACTACAATTGCAAATAAATATTTGAACTCATATATACTCTATTAATATTTATACATATGCATGTATGCAGTTGTGGGTGGGTAGTACGAGCATAGCACATACATACGTATGCACAAGAGTTTCGGTTATATCTGTACATGCATGCGTCAAGTTTTTGTTGTTCTTTCTACGATTTTTTCTTTTTTTGAATTTTCGAATTTAGCTATCTTGTATGTATTTGTAAATAAGTGCATTTATTGCTAGCTCACTTTTTTGTTTTTGTTATAAATCGTTCCTAATCGACCGAATTGTTCATCTAATTAACTCATTAACTCTCATCATAAGAACAATGTTTGTTTGTTGGTTTGGTTTTGTTTACATTTTTCAAAACTAATTTATTCTATAATTGTGTTTGTTGTTATTTTTAATATTTTTTTTTTTGTTAGCTCTGCTATGTAACTACAGTACGTTTCAGTTACTAATTTAAATTTGTTATTATTAATATTTTTTAGTTTCATTTTTGAAAATCTATTTAGCTAAATTATATAAATTTTTTTTCGCACAAAATAACAAATTTATTTTAAATTTAATTAAATGTTTTTTTTTTGTCAACAATACTCTCGCTACGTAATTGCAATAATTTTACAATATTTAGATATTACTCGTTTTAATAATATTAATAAATTTATTCTTTTTTTGTTGTCAATCACTATTTAATATAATATATCAGTATGTGTGTACTCTTGTATATGTAAGTATGTATGTATGTATATTGCACATAATATGTGTGTACATTAGTCTATATTTTGCGTAATTTTATTGACAAAACAATTGTATTTATATAAACGCATGTATGTATGTATATATTTATGTAGGTATGACTACAGTATGCGAGTATATATATTTCTTTATGTTTGTATGTATTATTTTTTATTGGAAAGTGTTGGGTGTATGTCAGTAGGTACAACATTTAATGGATTGTTAGTCACATATTTTTTTTTAACAGTTTTTGTTTTCCTTTACATCAACAATATTTATATACGTAGGTATGTACACGACATTAGGCGCTTATTGTTATTTTTGCTGCTATGCTTTTAGACTGGAACAGAATTGGAAACGAACGACTAAATGGTCGCAATTGATGTCTATGATGGTGTCGTCATTGGCGTAAAGTAATGGAGACCGTTGATCTGTAAGAAATTCAGAAGAAAAAAATAACGTTGAAAAAATTGTTAAAAAATAACAGTGAAATTAAAAATAAATTAAAATAATAAATAAATTTTAATTTTTAAATTAATTAATAATTTTTGTTTTCTTTCAATTTTAATACATTCAAATAAACGTTTTTTTTGCCTTTAAAGAAGAAGAAAATGCATAAAATTACACTTTAAATAACCTCACGCCAATCTTCCTCAATTCGAAAATAGCCAAAATTATAATTATATAACACATCTTCATATACATATATATATACTATATGTATATATAGGCGTACGTAGTTTAACTCACCGTCATATCGTATTCGGTGATATATGCTGGTATCTCTAATTGATCCTTGGAAATGGCGGAGTACAAATGCTCAACGCCGGGAAGTGAGTGTACCTTGGCTTTAATGGCGGGCGCCATGAATGTTGTGAACCACCAAGTCATCATCTGTGTGCAGAAATTTTGCAATAAAATGTTAATATATAAATAATTTAGGGTATGAAATAATTTAGTATGAACCAACCTTAGTCCAGAATGTTGGATGCACAATATAGAAGGCCTTCAGGTTCTTCTTGAATCTTAATAAGAAAGAAAAATTAAGCATAAATTATTTTTTCAATACGATTTAATTTTGTTTAAAAAAAGAAATGAATGAGAAACAGTGAAGGAGAGTATTTATTTTATATTTTGTATACTCATTTCATATTTTTCATTTCAGTTTTAGTATTTTTCTTGCATTTAATTTCGTTTATTTTTATTATTTTCTGTTTTGTTTCAATTTGTTTTATTTTTGTCTCCTCCAATTTAACTTTAATTTATTTCTTTATTTTCTTTCATTTAAATGTATTTTATTTTTTTATTATATTTTGCTTTATTTTACTTTATATTAGTCCTTCTTAATTTGTTACATTTTATTTTATTTTGTCTTACTTAATTATTTTTATTTAATTAATTGTATTGAATTTCATTTACATTTTTTATTTGAATTTATTTTTATTTCTTATTTTAATAATTCCAATTTATTTTATTTAGTTTTAATTTAATTTAAGTTTCTTTATTATGTTTAATTTTCCATTTTTCTGAGTATAGTTTTTTTTTCAGTATTTTTTAGTTTATGTTATTTAATTTAATTTACTTTTATTTAAACTTATTTAATTTTTTAATTAATTTTAAATTAGTTTAATTTATTTTATATTCTTCGGCAGGGAATGTCCACCTCTCCGAGTGTATTTCTGACGTTAAATAAAGGCTCTAATTATATATTAATTTATTTTTTTAAGTTTTATTAATTTTAATTGTTTTATGTTTAATTTCAATTTATTTTATTGCAGATAATTTTTTTTACTGATGATATTTCTGTTTATTTATAATATTACATTTCATTTAATTTTATGTTATTTCAGTTTTACTATTTGTTTTTTTTTTCGTATATTTATTTTAAATTAATTTACTCTTATTAATTTTGAATTTAATATCATATAAATCATCATCATGTTATTTTAGCTGATTTTATTTATTTTTAAATTTATTGTTATATTAATTTTCTGTATTTATTTATTTTAGTTAATTTTAATATTTCTGTTTTAATTATTGTCTACTTAGATTTAGTGTAACTTATTTCAGTTTATTTTTTTTAATATATTGTTGTATTTTATATTATCTTCTTTCCTTTTCATACATGTTTTATTTTATAATATTTTCTTTCATTTTCATATTTGTTTTATTTAATATTATTTTTTTTTTTCATTTTTATATATGTTTTATTTTATTTTGTTTGATATTATTTTATTTTACTTAATTTTTCTATTTTATTTATAATAAATTATTTAATTTATTTTTTCTAATTTATTTTTTAATTTATTTTATTTTAGTTTATTATTCTTTTTGTTTTATTTTATTAAATTTTCTTTTAATTATGCTTTTATATTACATTACTGTATTTTATATTATATTCATATCTCTTATTATCTTTGATTTTATTTTTTTAAACTTTATTATATTGCCAAAAATAAATTTCATTATATGTTTTATATATTTTTTGTCTTATTTTTGTCATTTTATTATTAAATTTTTATTTTAATTTTTAATTATTAAATTTAAATTCATTTCAATTTATTTTATTTTAATTCGTTTGATTTAATAAAATTTTAATTTTAATTGCATTATTCTTTATTCTACCAAAACTTTTAATTTGTACTAAACTTAATTTTTATGCATTTTATTTTTTATTATTTTCTTATTATTTTTTTATTACTTTATTATATATATAATATATCATATATTTCATATATTTTAAATAAATTGAATTATAATAAATTTAACATAATTTGATTTTTTTATATTTGTGCTATTTTTTTTAGTTTTCCACTGTATTAAATTTTTTCTAATTTTTATTTTTTTATTTTTCATTTAATTAACTTTTTTTGAATGTTTTATTGCATTTTATTTAACTCATAATAATTCACATTTTATGCTTATCGTACTCACTTATATGGTAATATACCGTAAACTTCACGCAACCAGTGAAGTGCCGGATAATTATTTGTTGTAGTCAATGTATGGAAGTACGCAATTACATAATCGCCCTTAACGATGGGATCCAATAGTTTAATTACATATAAAAGTGCCTGGAGATTAGGAGAATTTAACCAAGAGTCTATAAATTATTTCCGTTCTCAATTTCATTTACCTTCTCCAAATCGATGTTATGTGCAGGGAACCATTTGCCACAGAAGACGACAACTGGTCGACCCAAACGATCGACACCGCTCTGATAAAGGCAACCGATGCCGGAGACTTCTGAAAGATCTTCGATTTGAGCGCGACGCAAAAGACGTTCATATCTGCAAAGAGGTGCAAGGAAAGTTGAGCGATTAATTTAATTTTTAATTTCATAAATTTCACTAATTTTTCTTAAACAAATTTTATTAGAGTTTATTTTTCATTAATTTCACTGAAAACTTTATATAAAACTGAGTGGATATGTAATGTAAACATTCGTACATACATATATACATATATACATACGTATATATATATATATATATATGTATGTATTTAAGTGTGTAAATATTATTCCACCAAAACTAACACCCAGTTTATTTAATACTAAATAACAGCAAAATATTTGCCCTACTCTGTATAACAACAAAGTGTTATTTGTGAACTTAACAAAATCACTGCGGAATATTTATGACCACTGTATATATGTGTATGTATACAAATAAGTAAATATTCATTTATATATGTATAGAATTTCTTAAATACAAAACATTACAACAATTCAACTGACTGATACTAATCAAATTGGGAAGTAAGTAATTTGTATGAACGTGATAAATTATGCAAAAATGTTTTTTTTTTTTTTAAATTATTCTTTTTTCAAAATTGGTGCATAGTGAAAAGTGGTACGAGGAAAATTCCAAACAAACATTTCATACATATGTATGCCAAAAGTATTTTTTTTGTATGTATGTCAGCACTGTAATTGTTACTAATTTGTTAATTTGTTTACTCAAGTTTACTCAAGCCTTTCATTTTATTATTGGAATTGGAAAAAAAAAATTGTAGAAAATATTTCATGAAAAATAGACGCTAATCTGACACATCATGAATCACGAATGAGGTATACAGCACTGTTGGGTCAGACTAATTAAAAGCTCAAAAAACACTCATACGAATAAACAAAAAAAAATTGCCTCCAGAAGCTGTTATGGAAAAAAATGGAAAAAATTAATGAAAGTGTTAAAACTAATTTTTTCTTTCATTTAATTTATTTAATTATTAATTTATTTAAATTTGCTTTATTTTACCTCTTAATTTATATCTTAATTTACTTAAATTTATGCTATTGTATATTTATTTTATTTAAATTTTGTTTAATTTTATTCATTTATATTTTATCTTATTATTTTTTTTATTTATCTTATCTTATTTTATTGTATTTTCATTTGTTTTGTTTTCATTTGGTTTATTTTATTTCGTTTTCATTTATTTATTATTATTGCGTTTTCATACATTTTGTTTAGTTGAATTTTTCATTTAATTTTTTCTATTTAAATTTTTACAATTTTTTGTTTTATTTTATTTTATTTTAGTTTGCTTTGTTTTATTTAATTTAATTTAATTTAATTTAATTTAATTTAATTTAATTTAATTTAAATTAATTTAATTTTTTTATATTATTTTATTTTTTTTTATTTTATTTTATTTTTTTTATTTTATTTTATTTTATTTTATTTTATTTTATTTTATTTTATTTTATTTTATTTTATTTTATTTTATTTTTCTTGATACTTGATTTATATATTTTATTTTAGTTTAATATAATTTTATTTTATTTCAATTTATTTTATTTTAGTTTGCTTTGTTTCATCTTGTTTTATCTTATTTTTTTCATTTCATTTAATTTTATTTCTTTTGCTTTCTTTTACTTTACTTTTTTTATATATCTAATTTTATTTTTATTTTTATTTTATTTTATATATTTTACTTAACTTTATGTTATATATTTTATTTTGTTTTTTTTCATATTCTAATTTTTCCAATTAATATTGTATTTTTTTAGTTTATTTTTATTAGTTTAGATATTATTTAATTTATTTATTTTTTAATTTCTTTTATTTGGTGTCATTTTTTAAGGTTACTCATACGCCCCGGGTAGTGGCACGCGGTGCTTCTCAAAGTCAAGTCAATGCAGATTTTACAAAAACAAACATGCTTGCTTATTCACATACATCTTTGTATGTGTGAAGCTATTTTTGCTTAAGTTCCACAATGTCAATTGTAAATATATATTCACACATATGTATGCATATTAGTGTACATAAGTATGTACATATGTTTACAGACATATTTTATTACGCGCTACTTAATTTAACAAAAGGCTACCGCATTACTCGTCATACATTGTATTCTAAATAATACTAAATAATTATAATAATACAAAGACCAGAAAAAATAATAATTATACAAATTCAAAACTGCCATCTACAATGCATACACACACATATATGTATGAGCGTACTCGTACTATGTATATATGTCAAAAATGATGCTGAGCTGCCATAACCGTTAGCTTTTGTTTGTGAAACGTGCCGCATTGGATGCTTGATAAGAAAGAGCTAGCTATGTTTGTAGGCATGTATGTTTGTATGTGTGTGTTTATAAATTTTATGAACTTCCAACATTATGCGTTTATAAATCTATCTGCAGTGAGTTGGTTAAATTGAGTTTGTTTGCAAAATTTTACAAATACAAAACATACAAATATTGTGTGTGTGTGTGTGTGTGTGTGACCGTTATGCAGTGATAGTCACGCTCGTATGTATAACGCTTGTCACACGTACATTTGCACATACAAATTAACGCCATAAGCAACAGTGACATGTTTGTTTGCCTCAGCTATGATGTTAAGCAAACAACGTTATTTAACTGTAAAGCATAATACGAGTACATTACTGCTGTTGACTGTGAGCAACCGAAAAATGTTATTTAACTATGAATAAGTATGAAAATGCTACTTAAGCGCGGGTAAAAAACAATAATTTTTTAGGCATAAAAAATAACTGAAAGAGAAGATTAATGTAAAGCTGGGTGTCCCCAACGCACTATTACTAAGCATTTTTTTTTAGTTTAATTTTATAAAGATTCTTTTGAGTAATTTTTCATTAATTGAAATCAATATTTAATTATATTTGAATAATATTATTTTTGAAAAATGTTCTTAGTAAGATTTTTTTACACAGAGATGTTGCGATAGCGATGCCATTTTTGTATATTAATTTCAAAAGTAAGCTTTACAAAATGATTTTGTTTCGCTTCAGCGACATTTCATCGAAACGAGATGAATTTGTCAATGTTGAAACCGCATAACTCATCGTTGACATTCATTTTAAAATGATTGCCTGCTACGGAATTAACAGCACACTGAAATGCTATTGCTCTACATTCTCTGTTAACGATTTAACATTGAAGGCAGCATTTCATTACGGGTAAAAACGCTATAAAATTTATTTTGATAATTGCTTTAATAATAATCAAATCGATTGAAATTTTTCGATTAACATGAAATTTATCATTGAGATGAAGCCTTGATTTTAAACTGATGAGTCGTGTGCGCTTTTATCACTATTTAAAAGTATTACTAAATTTAATTAAGTTTCTTCTCAGAAATATTTTTTTATTTCTGTTGAATTTATGAATTTTACTTTGAAAACCTTTAAGTTCATATTGTATAATAAAACGCAAGATTTATATAATACACATCAAAAATAATTAGTTTTTACTTATTGTAAATTTTTGTACCGAAAGTCTTAAATTGATTTATGTATTTAAGATAAAATTTGTTGTAAATTCTCAAAGCTTATTTAGCTACGTTATCTTTTTAAGAACATGCAAAACAATATTATGAAATGTAGCTACATATGTACATACATATGTGTATATAAATGAAAAGTGTCATATTTCCATCACAAGCCAGATGTGTATGCACATTTGTATTTGTTTTTGTTTTAAAACAATGCTTACTCATATACGAATTAAATTTTAAATCACGAGGTATTTAAAAAAAACAAGAGAAAAATAAGGTGAATCTTATTTCAAAAAATATTTTTTCATCGCCGAATTTCAATTTTTTCCCGTTCAAAATAGTGACACTGCGATATTTATTTATTTATTAAAGCTTATATTGGTCTAGTAAAATGTAAGCCATTAGTTTTGATTTCTATTAAAGGCTTTATCTAACAAAGTAAGAGTTATTCGTTTTATGCCAAATATACAACGTTTTGCTCGATAAATTTTTGCCATTTTGTAGGCAATGTCATTATGCCTTTCTCATCGAAGCTTTCAGTCATTTTGGATAAAATTTGTAACAATCGATTTCGGTGTTCTTGATTTGAGGCCAGCTCTTTATCAACCAAATCAGTCGCCAGAGACAGCAACAGATGGTGATTATTTGGTGCCAGCTAGATATATAAGAATCACACAATCAAGCTCTGGGGGCCTCTGATGAGTCACTATTGATGTGTGTGGCCTGACGTTGTTCTGATAAAGCACAATTTCTCTTCTGTTCTCGCTTTTGTGGGATTGTATCCTTCAAACGGTCCGAATTAAGGGTTCGTCCGTAGAGAAGCAGCTCACAGTGGTTGTTTCTTTGCTGATCCCATCAAGCACGAAATCTTCCTGCTTCCGCCAATACTGGCTTAAAGACCGGCTTAATGCAATCGACCATGACTATTCTCTCTTCATATTGCATATAAGTGATCCACTTTTCATCACCAGTAATTAGCCGCTTCAGAAATGGGTCGATTTTGTTAAGATTCATTAGCGATTCCCACATGGAAATTCGGCCCATGAGTTTTCCTCGTTCCCAAATTAGGTAATACGGTATCAAGATTATAAAAGCTATTCATATTTTCAGCTGCCTGACTTATGTTACTGCTTTCTTGAAAAATAATTGTTTACTGCTGGTATCCACCATAGAACGCGAGATATCGATCAGTGAGAAAGCCATCTATTTCATAAAAAATGGATTAGTTTTTATTAGACCTAATACAAACTGTGGCCGTGGTAGCCGAATGATGAGTTATACATTGCCTACTACAGTTCGGAAGACCAGGGTCCATATCTCAGTGCGACCGACATACAAAAGTTATATAAACTTAATTTACATAAAAAATTAAATTAAATTTTCTGATTGCGGTCGACCTTCGGCTGGGAATGTATTTCTGGCATGAAATAAAGGCTTCCTTATAAATATAAACCATCAGCCGTTCAGAGACGGCTTAGTATAAACTGTTAGTATAAACTGTTAGAAAAACAAGAAGCACTGCACAAATAGGAG